TGGAAGTGGGAGACATGTTGTTGGTGCAGATAGTTACCCAGTCTCTTCAGCAACCCAAGTCTTAAATGCGATTTGCTGCGTGCGGAAATATGTCGGTAAACAAATATCATGCGCGTGTCCCAACAAATATGCATGCCAGGCTCAGTTAGCTTGGAACTGTATCAAAACTAGACCCATCTAGCGCGCGAGGTGCCGCATATGTCATCTAAAATTGTTCAATAGGTGCGGATGCATTGTACATACACGTCAATGGAAATGAATAGCGTATACGTGATTTGAATTACGCAAGGCTTCGAAATTACGGAACGGAGACGCTCTAATTGAACACTTCATAAAAGCAAGGAAGACCATGCGCTCCTGGTTTTTGGACATTACGAGTTCAAAGTTGTTATGCTGGCAGCCACATCTCGAAATAATTAGCCCAGCCTGACACGTCGAGTATTAGCTATGCACTGTTGGCCTGATATCGTCTTTTGTGAATGCTTTCCGGTATTTTGACGGTCGGTAACTGTCAGCAGAGGAGCTCTGAACTCAAAACAGCTCGACGATGGCGGTTTTTCGCTAGCATACATTTTCTAGAAATGCATTGAGTTGTTTTCTTTGAAGCAGTACCTAAGCTGCCGGAAATGGGGCTGTCCATGTTGGTAACGGAGCTGCCCATGTCGGGAACGGAGCTGCCCATGCCGGGAACAGAGCTTTTCGAGCGCCGAGAGATGTTGACCTGCACTGACTGCATCGCACACTCGGCCCACCTCCACCAGTCCGTCTCACTCACCTGCCTGCACGGCGGGGCGGTGTCCGTCGACCTGCGGTTCTATCGTCTGACTCGACGCCGGACGACGGCCGCGCGCCGAAATAGCGCCCGCCGCCCGCCCAGAATACCCGGGCCCGGCTGTCGCCAGCGCGCCACAGGTCCCTGGGCGGCGGTCGGACCCGGGCGCCTCCGACGGTGACGAATCAGGGCCGGCGTCCCCGCCGCCGGCCGGCCCAGCCCATCGCGTGCAAAGCCTTTTGACCCACCGGGCTGGGTGAAATGGTATGAACAAGCTTTCAAGAACTGAAAAGGTTTTCGATACTGCCTCTACAGCCATTGGCATGCCAGACACACTGCAAAAGCGGCCATTGTAGGGGCGCAGCCCCGCAAGATGTGTTGGGGGGTGGGGGGAGGGGGGGAGGGGGAGGGGGAGGGGGAGAGGGAGGGGAGGGTGGGCTGAACAGAGAAAAAGACGCAACATGTCCCAAAGTATCCAACAAACTGGTATCTCTTCAGATTTGGCACACTTCCTTCTCAAAGTTGGAGGGGGGGGGGGGGCAGGAGCCCAGGCCTGGAGGGTGGGGGGGGGGGGGACTCGGGACTTCAGCTCCCCGAGCTGAATAGAAAATTACATCCCTGGGCTACTGGTCGCGTAACTTTGCTCGAGCTTTCCTTTGCTTTGATCTCTACCATATATGACGAAAATTTTCCATGTATAGAAAAATAGCACGTTGCCCCTCAAAAGGTCTGAGTGTGCAGCATCAGTCACGTCTAGATATAGCCACAATCATAGCGCATGAATGCACTTCAACTACACAGTCAATGTTGCCAAGTACAAGATATAGACGATAGAGGACACCACTGCGCAGTTCCCGCAGTTGCATTGTCAACCTTTACATATCACATTAACATTTTTCGTAAGAAAATGTTGTTTCAGAAATGGCGTTCTGTATCCGATTTCAGGATCGCCAGGGGGTGGCTGGCGTGTACTACCGTCACAGCCATCCTCAGCCAATGGCTGCAGCAGCTGGCATGACAGCCGACGTGTGGCAGCCAGCCACCAAGGCTATGTTCGCCCCCTTCCCACCTCACCCATGCTGACGCCATCCGGCCGGTGCGCTCCCACGGGGCGGGCCGGTGCTGCAGACAGAGACGCTCACCGCCTGAGCTTCTGGCCGAGACCTCTGATTGTGCCTCTGGTATCTCCACTGCAGCAGTCCGGCTCCGGAGGACGCACGGCTTACCGGCCGCGGTGGCGACAGACCGCCAGCATTAAGAAACATAAATTGAGAGGCGATCGAGTTAAGGTGTAGGTGAGATTATATTGAGATAATCACTTGTGTAGTGCACAAGTTCTAACAGTGTGTTCTGGGCCCGGTCCTGCACCTGCTGTCAAGTTTTAATCTAGGTTGGCGCTCTCAGGCTGCCTTTACTCTTTTTTGACATGCAGTCCTCCTCTTCGATTCGTTTACAGAGCTGAACGGACAGATGCTGGCAGGTGACCATGCAAATCTGGGAGCCCGGTTAGCCGGTGTTTCAAGCCGGGTCCCGGTAATGAATGCGCAAAAACGTCACCTGCTTGTCTTTGACCACCTTTGGGTCTTGTACCTACCTGGTGTAACCAATGCAAGTAGTTTGCTGTTGTGTTCAAGCGTCGCATGAATTTCTTTCCATTCCATAGTTAACATAGGAACTCCATCCACGCCGTTCGTTATCACATACATTATCCACGTTCTTTCCTCTCTTTTGCGCCTCGTTTTGAGGGCGGCAAATACATGCCTGATCTGGTGTAAATTTGGCATAAAATGGTAAAGACCATATTGACGCAGGTAATCCAAATAAGCGTCCGGGAAAACGCAAGGGATGGTAACAGAAAGCGATATAAAACCGCGCGGGTCACAGGTTGTTCCCGGTATGCAATTATCATTGACGTGAGGAGAGTTGCAGGCTGGGGGGCTTAACTGATGGATGGAATGGGATGGAAAGCGTGTGATAAAACGCCACCAACCTTACCTATTTCTCCGTGTCTTGGAGAAGCTTCGGTGTCGGGTTAGTCTAACCCGTTTAGTTGATCCTGTTTTAAGCTCGTGCGGCGGAGAGTTGTCTCGCCGCTCCACATGACATTCCATGTGTCCGTTTTGCTTGTGCTTCATCATTGGTGAGTTGGTTGTCGCATTGGCTGTAACAGGGTGATAGGTTTGTCCGACTTCATCAACTTATCTGTTTTGTCATCAGTTCAGTTGATCTGAAAGGGCTATTACAAACTGCTTGATTGTGTTATTTGGGGACCAAAACTCAACCTAAGCAACCTTTTATTGCATGAACTCTGCAGCCCCACCATCCCATACAAAATTTTAGGTAAGCAGCATCATTTGTGGATAAATTTTGATGTACCACAATTATTTGTGCACTCTGTGTTATCCTCTGGTGTCACCCAACCATTCTTGCAGCTGCTGCCATTAGTGCAATTTATTAGCCATTAGGCACTTGCCACAGGCCATCCCAGTCTGGCAAATAACACATGCTTAAAGCAACATGAGCCCATGCTGCCACAAACCCACCCAGCCATGGTCAGGTGATATGGATCAAAGATAATTACCTGAACCAACTGGGTTGCCATGACATTAAAAACAACAAATGTTGAATCTAAATATTTTACAGACTTCAATATAAAATTCATTGCCACTTTTTCAGCAATTGAAGCATCCCTTATGCTGATACTCAGTCCACATTTATTTGTGGAACTGTACAGTACAATAAGGCGAGACAGTAGTATCAGTCTTATTCCTCAGAGAAAAACCAGGGGAATGGAGAGGTAGTTAGGCCAATACTCAGCAACATGCCTTTATGAAAACAATAGCAGAAGTAAACTCACTTCTAGTAGCATTAGCCTTACTCCTCAGGGAAAACCAGGAGAAGGGAGATATAGTTTGGTTGATATTTTGGCAACATGTTTGTATCAGAACAACAGCAGAAGTGAATCCACCTCTGCTATTGTTTTGATAAAGGCATGTTGCTGAAGCATCAACCCAACTATATCTCCATTCTCCTGTAATTTTCTCTGAGGAATAAGGCTAACACTACTATCTTATCTATGTGAATAATGTTCTTTGCTAATGCACTGAACAACTTATGTTATTTTGAACTGTACAGTACTGTGGATTAGGGTTGCAACTTTTTCCAACATTTCCTGAACCAACTTTGACATCAACATGCACATCATTGTGTAGAAGAAAGGACACTCATTTGCACCCCTTGTGATATTTAGAATGATTTTGCTTTTGGATTTGCTAGGTACTGTTATTAGTTATCGCTGATCATCAGTGGCCATTGCGCTTGGAGCCAGGGATATATATGTTCATATACAGGCTGGTGCACACCTATCTCTGGTTTCTGAACTCTGCAACTACCACTTAAAGATGAAACATGCCACTGTTAAGATACCCATTTTTGTAAGTCCAGTTTTAGTGACAGTTTGATTGCACAGTTCTTAATTAGCTCCTCAACAGCATTAGCAACATGTTACACACAAAGTCAAGAAAAAATGTATTTTTACTGCTTGAAATAAACATTCCATGACATGAATAATTGTTTGCTGAATGCTCTGCTGCTTGCTCTTGAACTTTGCATTGTGTTGCATATCATTTAGACTGAAGCTCATAATACACTTGAACGTGATGTTGAGAGCAACATGGATCCAGTTTTTTATGCTCCTTATAGGGAGGACTAGTTTGTCACCTGCTCATTGGTGACAGCATGTAATAACTTGTTGTTCAATGGAAGTGCACAATTGTGCAGTAAGTTGTATAAAATGTTTGGAGTTTGTTAATTTCCCATGCAGTATTGAAACCATACTTTATATGATGTACAGAACTGTCATGCTTGTGAACTGGCTTGCACATAAAATATTGCCATATTTTGAAGCATATTCTGGAACTCACAAGAACATTTTACTTCATGTTGAAACTGCTGGAAACTATTGAAACAACTAAGAAACCCAAATATTTGTTATAATATATCAAGGTACTCCTATAATATGATTATCAGAGCAGACCAAAAGCAGTTAGAAAGCCAGCTACTTCGTATTCTTTGCTTGGCATTCTTTCACTTTCCAGATTATGCTGTGCATTTCATGGGATTTTTGTTGACATGCAATACACACATATATTTTCTAAGTAGTTGGTGCCAGTGCTGCCACATGACCCTGTCGTGACTCGCCATAAACACGCTACGTTCTCGTCCACAGACCCGCGCTGCCGCGCCCCGTGTGGGCTCGCGTCTCCCAGCTCCCGGCGGTGAGGCGCGGCTGCCATGAGCGGCAAGCTTGCGCCCAGCAAGAGCACCGTCTACATCAGCAGCCTGCCGTTCGCGCTGACCAACAGCGACCTGCACAAGCTGCTGGAGAAGTTCGGCCGCCTGGTGCGTGTCACCATCGTCAAGGACCGCGAGACGCGACGCAGTAAGGGCGTGGCGTTCGCCCTCTTCCTGCGCCGCGAGGAGGCGCTGGCGTGCGCGGCGGCTCTTGACGGCCGCACGGTCTTCGGGCGCACACTGCACGCCTCGCTGGCGCGCGACAACGGGCGCGCGGCCGAGTTCGTGCGCCGGCGCGAGTACCCGGATAAGTCGCGCTGCTACGAGTGTGGCGAAGCCGGGCACCTCTCATACGCGTGCCCTCGTAACGCGCTGGGCGAGCGACCGCCGCCCCCCAAACGGCCGCGCAAGAAGCGCCGCAAGCCGCCGCCGGCCGTGCCGGCCGCGGAGGACGAGGACGAGGAGGAGGGCGAAGACCCGCGCGAGGAGTCGCTGGCCGCCGCCATCCAACACGAGCAGCAGCTGCGCGAGCGGGAGGGCGGCGCCGGCCCGTCGGAGCCGAGCGGCTCGACGGAGCGTCGGCCCCGACAGCCGCGCAACAGCTACCTCTGCGACGACTTCGAGCTGAGCGACTAAACACGTATCGGTGGCGAGCTGTTAGAGACTGGTGGAGCGGGAGGCGGACACCAGGACAAGTGCTGGGCGCTGGCGTGCTGTGGGCAGTCGCGCCGGACGCTTCGTTGCAGTGGTTGTGTTCAGCGCGGGCCCGTTTGACCGGTGTCATCCACCGCCGTCAGTGCTGGCGCACAGCCAGTGTCTTCATCTGCGGCCTGCTACGGACAGCCATCTAGGTAGGCCTCGCTGGGTGGTCCCGCGTCCGTGTGTGAACCTCGACTCTGTTTCTGCTGACGGTGCTTGTCCGTCTTATCAGGCTCGTCCATCTGTGGGAGCAGCTACCGTGGGTACCTGTTCGTGTGTCGTCCTGTCCGTATTTCCTTCGTCTCACTCATTCGCCGTCCGTCGCCTCCATCTGACGGCGCGGCATCGCTCCTGGTGCAGCGCCAGCCGGCTGGGGAAGTGTATGGACGGTGCGTCCCTTTTGCCTTTCCGAGCGCAGCAGAAGGCAGTCGGACATGAGGTTCATGCCATGAGAGAGCAGGACAAAGTCGTCTTTTAAATAGACCATGCTGGGTCCAACACTTTGTTGTCTATGCTGGTGATATGCAATCTTGGTATTTCGAGTCCCCGGGCAAGATCGGCTCGATAAAGCTGAAGCCTTTGTGCAGGGCAGGATGATGACATGTAGCCCGATTATTCTCACAGAGGGCAAGTCCACCGTCAGTCGTGGCAACACCTTGCAGCCTTGCTGTGGGATGAGCGGGAGCACAGGCCGGACGCCTGGCTGTTAACTGGCCGGGCATTTTGCAACTTCAGCAGCCCAGCCTGGCCTGTCAGCGCCTCACTGAATGCTGGCGGGTCGACCGCACACTGTGCGGTCGTTAGCAAGCGGCCTGTGCGACGCACAGGCCATTTGCTAACGGCCGGGGTCAAAGAAAAAATGGCTTTATCATATGTATATAGTTTTATGTACGGTTTTGATATTTAGTTGGTACATCTAAGTTATATCACTGCAAGGGTATATAATACAGTTAGTGTGTATATTTATTGCGCCCAATTTAAAATACGCTTAGTTGTTCGCCGCGGGTGCAGCCCTGTGCACACGTTTTTTTGTGGGAGCACTATCGGTCGGCAGTGTAGATCGTTCATCAGCGGACATGACCTTTTGTGGAACTCGACCGTCGACTGTGCATTGCTTACTGCGGCTGGCCTGTCGCCAGTGTGATGGCCAGAATACGGCGGCTCCGAAAAATTCTAAATTTGCGCAGGTGGTCATGGTGGTCATGGTATAGGCTATCAGCTGCTAGCAATGTAGGTTTGTCGGATTCCGGTCCCCCCATTTTATTCGTTCGACCCCCGGCAGCGTCTCGCTTAATGCTGACTGGCCGGCCGCCACGGCTCTGTGTAAACACGGCGCGCCATCGCCGATACTTTTAGTCTCGCCTTGCGGGTGCGACCACGTGGTCACGATGTTACTGCGGGAGCATTATTTTGGCCGGCGATGTAAATGCTCATCAGCCGTTATGACCTTTTTTGGTTCAAATGGAATCATTAAAGCCGATTGTTAGCTGCTTCCAGCCTGCCAGTGGCGTGGCGGCCGGAGTACGGCGTCCGGGGAGAAATACTCATTTGCGCGTGGAGAATGCCACTGTTGCATTTGATAGCCGTGGTATAGTGCTACCATGTGCCAGTACAACACACTTGTCCGATGAGACAATCTTATTTGTTCGGTTGACCCCTGACGGCGTCTCACTCAATGCTGTTGTACCGGTTGCACCAGCTTTTTGCAAAGATATGACATCCAATTCCAATCACCTTATTGCGCGCAGTGGGTGCAACCACGTGTTCACGATGTTATTGTGGGAGCTTTTATTAGCCCTGTAGTGAAGTTCCGTGATGGCCGGCCATGTGAGTCGCTCATCAGCTGGCAGGACGCGATGCTAACTGAGGCTGGCCCACTTGTAGCGTGATGACCAGAAAGCGGCAGCCCGGAACAATACCGATGAAGTTGCTCGGAGATCGGCCTGTGTGCCAGGTAGGGATGACATAGGGCTATTACCTGGCAAAAGATCATACTTGTCGGATTAACCATCACCGCCTTTCTGTCGTTTTTGTATTCGTGTCTTTTTTGTATTGTTTCGACCCGCGAAAGCGTCTCACTCAATGCTGTCCGCACGGCCGTGGCGGTGGTTTATAAAGTTACGGCGTCCAATTGAAGCATTTTTAGTCCTGCGCGGTGGATGCAATCATGCGCACACGAAGTCATCATGTGAACGCTGTTGCCATCAATCTAAATCGGCCATCATCTGACGTGAGTTGTGTGGTCCAAAGAAACCCTTAAAGGCGCATTGCCAACTGCTGCTGCCAGTCTGCCAGCATCGTAATGGCCAGAACACAGCAAACGTGAAAATCCCTATAATCGCACCCAAAGAGTGGACTGTGTGCACTCTATAGCGCTGGTATAGGACTGTCAGCTGCCAGTTCAACATACTGGTTTGATCATAGAATCTATTTCATTCGGTCGCCCTCCTCCCCCAGCAGCGTCTCACTCAATGATTGCGGGGGCCACATCGGTGACCTGCGAAGCTGCCGCGTCCAATTTAAAATGTTTTTAGCCGCTGGCGGTGGGTGCGACCATGTGCGCGCGATGTCAGTTGGGAACTCTACTGGCTGGTGATGTAAATCGCTCATAGGCCGACATGACCTGATCCAAATCACCCCTTGACGGCGCCCTGCTAACTGAGGGCTTCTTGTCCGTAGCGTGGTGGCCAGAATACGGCGGCCGCAGACAATGCTTGCAAAAATGCGCGCGAAGATTGCGACTGTGTGCGTTCGGTACCACCGATATAGGGCTATCAGCGGCCAGTAGAGCAAACGCCTTCGATCAGGCGGTCGACATTATTTAGATGATCCCCAAAGTCAAATAGTTGTATTTAAGTTGTATAGTTTGATATGTAGCACGCGCAATATCATCGTCAGAGCTCTATTGGCCGGCAGTGTGAATCGCGATAGCGCTGGTATAGAGCTATCAACTGCCAGTAAAACACTTCCGTCTTTTATGGAAATAATTGTCTGGCCGATCCCCCCGCCCCCTCCCCCTCACGACAGGATGCCACTCAAAGCCGGCGGGCTGGCTGCACCGGCGGGTTGGCTAGATACCGCGCCCAATTTAAACGCCGCGGCCGTGCACGGCCAGTACAGCCATGTGCACACAATGCTATTGTGAGGGCGCTTTTCGCTAGCAATAGAAATTGTTCATCGTTAGGCATGATTTGTTGTGTCGAAATCACCTATATCAGTCACCTGAAATCTTCCGAGTTTTGTTTGTTAAAGTTACCTTTTTGAGTGATATAAACATAAATACTCTCTTGTTTTGCTCATAGTGCTCCTTGCTTCAAAATGCGTCTTACTGCTAGGTAACAGCCACGTCAGAGATGATTGTGATGCTCCACGCATTCAGCCCCTGGCTGTGGCAGTGTGATGTGCGTCTCACTGCTAGGTAACAGCCACGTCAGAGATGATTGTGCTGCTCCACGCATTCAGCCCCTGGCTGTGGCAGTGTGATGTGCGTCTCACTGCTAGGTAACAGCCACGTCAGAGATGATTGTGATGCTCCACGCATTCAGCCCCTGGCTGTGGTAGTGTGGTGCTCTTCTCTCCCATGTCGTATACTGTGTGAAACCGGACGGTTTTTGTAAGAGCAGGGTGCACAATACACGGCAACGTGTTTTCCTCAGTTTGTGCCGCACAGAGTTGTGCCACGGTGTAGTTAGGTAACATGGTGCATCTGACAAGCACGGGAAATAGATGCAGCTGAAAGAGAAAAGGAGAGGAAGGAAAGAGCTGAGAGGAAAGCAAGGTGGGAATATAGACGTTACTCAAACTTTCCAGAACCCCTGCCCTTGCTTAGCATCTTTCATTGTTTGCTGGCTTTCCGATTGGGCGCCACCCAATAGGAGGCCAACTGATGATATCGTTCTCTGAAGGCTATTCCCTCCCATTTGGTGGCCGTGGCAATCCTGCGTAATGATCCTGACAATGAAAACGAAGGGATGAATCGGTAGCGTACGCGGCTTCTGATTCTAGTAACCTCAGGCAGGTGAATATGTTATAGTCCAAAGATGTACATCAGGCTACATCCGTCGACTAATTGCAGCACGTACCCGACGCAGTGCGGCCTCCAGATGGACCCACTTACACGTCTCGACGCTAATGCCCTGGTTACACGCGCCGAGAATAATGACGCACTGACCCGGAGCTAAACGATGGGCTGGTGCAGCAGGCGTCACGCTGCAGAGTGAACAGCCTGAGCTTGCGAACGTCGCGTGGACGGAGTCTTGGCTGTCAGCTCTCCAGCATGCTGACGTCGCCCACGATATGGAAGGCCAGTGCACTGCGGAAGTTCGCTAACAGCCACCGGCGCTCACCATCTGTCGCAGGGGTGAGCCGGTGACGTTTGGAATGGTATGTCACGTCTGATATTCGTGTTCCCAAATGTTTCATCTCTTAGGCATGCATCTGCTTCTATTAGTAGTCGCTGTTAACACTGCAATCACTGCATCGATCCGTGTATTTTTGTTTGTTCCGCGAAAGCTTTTCGTTATCGACATAAGATTGGCGTTTCAAATATCTTTCGTGATGCATAATCTGTTTGCTCTGAAAAGACACGCCCGCTCTTACATTATTGCAAGTATATTCTTGTCTTCTAAATCCGTTCTTGTCCGTGAAGGATTTGCCGATTTGGAGAACGGCCTGAGGGAAGTGTGTCCCTTCGTTCACTCGCGGTGCTCCGCCCCAGAAACAAAAACATGTTGGTTCTCTCACTGATGCAAATCCATGCATCTTCCAGCCAATGCAGTATGCGAATTTTGTAGTGAATGCGTTTCAAAGATGGCCTGTGAATGCCGTGGAAAGACGACTAGATCTTTCACCTGACGCGTTCACGCTGCTGAGTCAGCACATGGGCTCTGCTTGCACGTGTAATGTTTCTTCAGCGAGTTAGATCAGGCTCTTATTCGTGCATTGTAATCAACCGGAAGGAACCATTTCGATACCACACGACAGTATGATCATGTCTGAGTTTGAAGCAGAGAAACAACAGATATAGTGACATGAGCAAAAATTCGGCTCAGATGTCAGCAAAACAACAAAGATATCGACACACGTCAGCATCTTAACAAAGATAACAATCATTGGATGCCAGGCTCGTTGTACTTTCCTGCGTCATCGTGAG